CCGTGACAACACACCCGTGACAACACACCTGTGACAACATACCTGTGACAACACACCCGTGACAACACACCCGTGACAACACACCCGTGACAACACACCCGTGACAACACACCCGTGACAACACACCCGTGACAACACACCCGTGACAACACACCCGTGACAACACACCCGTGACAACACACCCGTGACACACACCCGTGACAACACACCCGTGACAACACACCCGTGACAACACACCCGTCACAACACACCCGTGACAACACACCCGTCACAACACACCTGTCACAACACACCTGTCACAACACACCCGTGACAACACACCTGTGACAACACACCTGTCACAACACACCCGTGACAACACACCCGTGACAACACACCCGTGACAACACACCTGTGACAACATACCTGTGACAACACACCCGTGACAACACACCCGTGACAACACACCCGTGACAACACACCTGTGACAACATACCTGTGACAACACACCCGTGACAACACACCCGTGACAACACACCTGTGACAACACACCCGTGACAACACACCCGTCACAACACACCCGTGACAACACACCCGTGACAACACACCCGTGACAACACACCCGTGACAACACACCTGTGACAACATACCTGTGACAACACACCCGTGACAACACACCCGTGACAACACACCTGTGACAACATACCTGTGACAACACACCCGTGACAACACACCCGTGACAACACACCCGTCACAACACACCCGTCACAACACACCCGTCACAACACACCCGTGACAACACACCCGTGACAACACACCCGTGACAACACACCTGTGACAACATACCTGTGACAACACACCCGTGACAACACACCCGTGACAACACACCTGTGACAACATACCTGTGACAACACACCCGTGACAACACACCCGTGACAACACACCCGTCACAACACACCCGTCACAACACACCCGTCACAACACACCCGTGACAACACACCCGTGACAACACACCCGTGACAACACACCCGTTACAACACACCCGTGACAACACACCCGTGACAACACACCCGTGACAACACACCCGTGACAACACACCCGTGACAACACACCCGTGACAACACACCCGTGACAACACACCTGTCACAACACACCCGTCACAACACACCAGGGAACAACTTAACCAACGCCTAGCAATACTCAGAAGGATTATGAGGAAATAATTATGAATTAATTATATTATTATTATAATAATAATTATTGTATTTAATAAATATTACTCTTCCTTCTGCTGGGTCGTGAAGGAAGCGGGCCTCGGGTGACATGGGGCTGTGACGATCACTGTCAGGAACCCGTGGGTGCGGGGCCGGGCCGTCCACCTCCTGGGGCTCGTGTGGCCCCCCAGGCTCTGCTGCAGGAGGCTGGGGCCGTTCTTGCCCTTGCTGGGGCGGTTCTCCGGCCCCGACCACGCAACCCGTTCTCGCAAATTTAATAAGTCAATATTGACTTATTAAATATGTGCATAGGTGACATACTTAACATAATATATACCCTTAAAAAGATTCATAGAAAACACCGACCTTAACCACGTCGGTCTCCGGGTCCTGATACCTTGTGCTTTCTTTTAACCATCCTCGAGGTCAACTCTGGAGCTGGAGCCCCTGGGGGCAGTTCATTGGTGCCTTCAACCTCGTTCTGACAGTTCCTGCGACGGCGCTGGAACCAATCGTATTGGCGTTTGCCTTCCAATTGGAGACTTTCGGCGCCGTGGAGAGGTGGGGGGGGGGGGGGCCTGCTGCATGGGTGACAGCTTCCCCGTATCACCCTACCCTAGCTTTGCGCCCTGGTGAGGCCACTCCAGACTGACAACCTGAGTGCAACTCCATAGTCTCCCGAGACTGATAGATGCCTACTACTGCTAGGAATTATCACGCGTACATTAGACTTTAAGGAGAAGAACTTGTTATTCAACTTTACAAATTTCTGGTGTGCCCCGTTCTGGACTACTGCATCCCAGCATGGAGACCTCATCGTCAGAAAGACACAGCTGCTCTGGAGAAGGTGTAACACCGGGCAACAAAAGTCATTCTAAAGCCAAGTCAACTCACATACCTGCAACGGTTGAGGGCCACAGGGCTAACAACACTACGGTTGAGGGCCACAGGGCTAACAACACTACAAGCCAGGCATGACAGGACGGATCTTATTGAAACTTTAAAATACTAAAAATTTGGAGAATGTTCATCAGGAAAATTTCTTCAGAGGGTGAGATGTGACACCAACAAGGAGCAACGGTTCCAGCTCAACAGCCACAATGTGGGACTGAGGACAGGAGAGGCTTCTACACCCACAGGGTTATTAACCCAGGGAACCGCCTACCCGCCCAAGCCGTAAATGCCAAAAAGAAAATAATTTTAAAATTCAGCTGAAAATATTCAGGGGCAAATCGGGGGCCTTTGACAAGCCGCCGGCTTCCTGTCCTCGTCGACGAAGAGATCAGAGGCGCTCAAAGACTCGTAGCCCATGCAACTGTAGCGTCTCGTAGTACAGTGGGCTTCGTTCTCGACTCACAATCAGGACTCTCGGGTTCACTTCCCGGGCGGGACAGAAATGGTTGGGCACGTTTCATTCCACTTAATGCACCTGTTCATCCACTAGCAGTCATTAAATAGGTACCCGGGAGACAGGCAACTGTTGTGGGTAGCGTCCTGGGGCGGGTCAGTAGTTAGACTTGAGTGTGGGCGGCCTCAGGCCTCACGTATATATATACACAGGCTGCCTGTCCCTGCCAAACTAGGCTGTGTTTACACAACTATACAAGATGCCAGATGCAGCCCACAACAGGCCAATACACCAGCCTCCTCCACCCACGGTGTTAAGGCCACACTCAACAGTGCTCAGGCACTGTTAGGCAGGCACTGTTAGGCAGGCACTGTTAGGCAAGCACTGTTAGACAAGCACTGTTAGGCAGGCATTGTTAGGCAGGCACTGTTAGGCAGGCATTGTTAGGCAGGCACTGTTAGGCAAGCACTGTTAGACAAGCACTGTTAGGCAGGCATTGTTAGACAAGCACTGTTAGGCAAGCACTGTTAGACAAGCACTGTTAGGCAGGCATTGTTAGGCAGGCACTGTTAGGCAAGCACTGTTAGACAAGCACTGTTAGGCAAGCATTGTTAGACAAGCATTGTTAGACAAGCACTGTTAGGCAAGCATTGTTAGACAAGCATTGTTAGACAAGCACTGTTAGGCAAGCATTGTTAGACAAGCACTGTTAGGTTGGCACTGGTAGGCAGGCACTGTTAGGCAAGCATTGTTAGACAAGCACTGTTAGGTTGGCACTGTTAGGCAGGCACTGTTAGGCAAGCATTGTTAGACAAGCACTGTTAGACAAGCACTGTTAGGCAAGCATTGTTAGACAAGCATTGTTAGACAAGCACTGTTAGGCAAGCATTGTTAGACAAGCACTGTTAGGTTGGCACTGGTAGGCAGGCACTGTTAGGCAAGCATTGTTAGACAAGCACTGTTAGACAAGCACTTGGCACTGTTAGGCAAGCGCTGTTAGGCAAGCACTGTTAGGCAAGCACTGTTAGGCAAGCACTGTTAGGCAAGCACTGTTAGGCAAGCACTGTTAGGCAAGCATTGTTAGACAAGCACTGTTAGGCAAGCACTGTTAAGCAAGCACTGTTAGACAAGCATTGTTAGACAAGCACTGTTAGGCAAGCATCGTTAGGCAAGTACTGTTAGACAAAGTGTTACACAGACACTGTTAGACAAGCACTATTAGACAAGCACTGTTAGACGAACTGTTAAGCAAGTACTATGATAATGACCCATTATCACCACACCAGAAATAAATATCTCTTTGATATCCCCAGAGTTAAACTTAATCTGTGTAAACACTCTATGCAAATAAAGGGACCCAGTTTATGGAACTCACTCCCTACTGAATTGAAAAGTTGTCCAACTTTTACATCATTCAAAATCAGTACTAAAAAGTACCTAATTTCATCTTCATAGGTTTTCACTTTTTGCCTTAAAATTGCACTGTATCTATTGCTACCCAATCTCCCAACCTTTATGTTCCCAATCTGAACATCTTTACCATTGTGATCATTGCTGTCTTATATGTGCTGTCAATCTGCTGCATGGTGTCTATTAATCTTGTTTAAATTACTAATCAAGCTGTCAACGTAATCAATCAGAGCTTTAATACAACAATATGCTTTAATATACTTACTAAGCTCTCTCATCTCATTTTTCTCTTGCAATGTATCTTTATCATTTATCAATTCTGATAGAAATTATCTACTTAAAATTATCTGCTAGATTAAGGACCTGCCCGAAACGCTGCGCGTACTAGTGGCTTTACAAGAATGTAAATACTGTACTATCCAATGTATTCTCACAAACCCAATGTACCTTCTTGTATATATATAAATAAATAAATAAATAAATAAATAAATAAATAAATAAGTACACACACAAACCCTGTCATATGAAGGCTCATTTATAAACAAATATATGATGTTTAATATTGTTTACACATAATATATATGTGACACACATGTGGCTCCTTTGAGCACAGTTACATAAATTGGTTACAATAATTAGGTGTTCTAAAACTACCAACAATGCCGAAACAGTAAAAACAATGTAATCCTTTAATAATTGATTTTAGAATAAGCAAAACAATTAAACAAGCTGATAGGAAGGAACTGAGAGCAACTTATCAACAAAATAAATGATATAGCAAATTATTCATTAATTAAAATGATTTATTATTATTCATGATAAATAATTTTGCTGGTGACTAGTGGCAGCCCCAACCTAAGCAGATGGGTTCAAAATGATCCCTGGAGGGAATTCCATGACGTCAGAGTGACATTGTGACGATAATCCACTCACACTAACTGGATTATATACGTCAAAATAATACAAATTATATTTAATTTTTGTTAGATTATGATAGAATAAGTTAAATTATAGCATGTTGGATTAGATTATATTGGGATAAGATAAGATAAATTTGTCTCAAGAGAAGCGATGACGTCAGAGGTGCACATGTTGCGGTCCTGCGTGACCCACAGAGGGCGGCGTGTAGCGGTCAGCAGTGTCTCAAGGCGGACTCCTAGCAGGTAGGTAAGTTCTCACCTCCACCTGTAAACTAACTCTCCTACACGAGGACTGAAGCCTCCACGTACACTCTCACTCCATGTACTCTGGTCGTGGGTGAGACGACGCAGGCTCAGTGGGAGAGGCAGCAGGGAAGGTGGGAGAGGAGGAGAGGAAGGGGTCGGATCCTGCAGACATTCACCCTCAATGTTTTTGTTTACATTGTATATATATATATAATGTGTTTACTTGTGTCTTTCTTGAGTCATGTTTATTGTTGACCCCATTACTTGTGTCTTTCTTGAGTCATGTTTATTGTTGACCCCATTACTTGTGTCTTTCTTGAGTCATGTTTATTGTTGACCCCATTACTTGTGTCTTTCTTGAGTCATGTTTATTGTTGACCCCATTACTTGTGTCTTTCTTGAGTCATGTTTATTGTTGACCCCATTATTTGTGTCTTCTTGATCCTTGTTTATTGTCAAGTGTTAACCGTTAAACTTAAATCAGCCGGTTGGCCGAGCGGACAGCACGCTGGACTTGTGATCCTGTGGTCCTGGGTTTGATCCCAGGCGCCGACGAGAAACAATGGGCAGTTTCTTTCACCCTATGCCCCTGTTACCTAGCAGTAAAGTAGGTACCTGGGTGTTAGTCAGCTGTCACGGGCTGCTTCCTGGGGGTGGAGGCCTGGTCGAGGACCGGGCCGCGGGGACACTAAAAAAAAAACGAAATCATCTCGGGATAACCTCAAGATATTCTATTTCTCTCTGTTCTGTTATGTTCCAGTTGCTTTGCTAAATTACACCTTAGTATTTCCATTGTTATTAATGTAGTTAAACTCAATAGTTTAAAAGCTTTAATAGTTTTTTATAAGCTAATAGTTTAAACTCAATAGCTAAATTCAATAGTTTCTTCTCATCCCTTGCTAATGATATTCCATCCTCCCGAACTAATGTTAAGGACTACCTTACAGGTAACTATCTTAGAGTCTCTGTACCTAACTCCTGCAAATTCCACTGATGTTAATGAGATAATCCTTTCCCTTAAAACTAAGTCAAGTGCCCTTGCTGAGATACCATCTCTGATTTACAAAAAAGCCTCCAGATTTTTTGCTCCTGCCATTGCATTGCTCTTCAACAAATCACTTGAACTCCAAACCTTTTCAGATATTCTAAAAAAATCGAGAGTAACCCCAGTTCATAAATATGGTGATCCCACTGATGTCAATAATTTCAGACCTATATCAATTCTGCCAAACTTGTCAAAAATATTTGAAAAGCTAATCTATAAGCAGCTTTACTCTTATCTAGACAAACACAATATACTTAGCTCTTGCCAATATCAGACCCCCAAAAATGCACTAATGATGCACTGATTAGTATGATTAACTTGATACATGCAGCTCTTGATAAAAATGGGTTCCCTGTTGGGTTATTTGTGGACCTGTGTAAGGCTTTTGACACTGTCAACCACCAAAACCTTTTTAAATTACATCATTATGGAGTCAGAGGACACTCCCTGCAATACCTCAAATCCTACCTTACTGACAGGCTCCAGTATGTTTCTGTGAATAATTCTATTTCTCCCACCCTACCCATCAACATTGGTGTTCCTCAGGGCAGCATACTTGGCCCTCTCCTCTTTCTCATCTACATTAATGACCTTCCAAATGCCTCCCAACACCTCAAACCAATTTTATTTGCTGACGACACAACCTTCATTTACTCCAGTCCTGACCCCCTTGCTCTAAATGTCACAGTGAATACTGAACTAAATAAAGTTCATCTTTGGCTAACTGCTAACAAACTTGCCCTTAATAAAAATAATAATAATAATAATATTTATAGTATTAATATTTTATTTAGGAAAAGTACATACAGTACATGGATGCAGAGTTATAAACATTCTGATTGATTTATAGATAGAGGTAGTACATACAATACCTAAAGCCACTGGTACTCATAGCATTTCGGGCAGCTTAACATTGACAAAACCCTCTATTTTGTTTGGTAATAAATCCTCAGATCAAATTAATCTAAGAATAAACAATATCTAAATTAGTAACAAAGTAGACTGTAAATTTTTTGGTGTTCTCATCGATAACAAGCTGAATTTCCAGGGACACGTTCAAAATATAGGAAAAAAAAAGTTTCTAAAATTGTTGGCATTCTATCTAAGACGAGTTATTATGTACCCCGCCTTGCCCTGGTACATAATATTATGCCCTGCTCTATTACTCTCATCTAGCCTTATCTCAATTATGGTATTTGTGCTTGGGATTCTTCTACCCAAAATTATCTACGTCTTCTTAATTACTCAACACAAAGTTGCTATTAGAACAATAACAAAATCTGGCCCCAGACAGCACTCGGCACCTCTACTTAAATCTTTGAATTTGTTAGATGTTAAGTCACCGCACATTCCTCAAGTGTACTCTATATATTTAAAACTCTGAACTGTAATGTCAGTTCTGACCTTAAAAGTTTCCTACAAGGTTGTAACAGAACTCATGGGCACCACACCAGAAACAAATACCTATTTAATATTCCAAGAGTGTGACTTAACCAAACTAGAAATGCTCTACAAATCAAGGGACCCAGAATGTGGAATGACCTTCCCAACCATGTCAAAGACTGTCCCTCTCTCAACCAGTTTAAGATAAAAACTAAGTACTACCTAATTAACTCCATGTAACCTACCTTGCCCCCAAATTGTCGACCCATGTCTTGCTATTTTCAATCAATACTATTTGTTGACTAGCCTGAATAATTGCTGATTTCCACCAATTTTTTTTTTTTTTTTTTCAATTTATGCCTTGATCTCAACTAGTATCAGTTTTTAGTCCTTTTCCCCACACCTTGCCCGAAATGCTGTACGTATTAGTGGCTTTAGGCATTGTATGTACTAGCGCTATCTATAAATCCAACATTATGTTTGTAACTCACCTTGTATGTATGTGTAGGCAATGAGTCACAATAACATGGCTGAAGTATGTTGACCAGACCACACTAGAAAGTGAAGGGACGACGACGTTTTGGTCCGTCCTGGACCATTCTCAAGTCGATTATATGTGTACTTTTACACATACAGCGTACATATGTATGTATACTTTTACCAGAATAAACATTTGATTTTGATTGATTTTGAACTACGGTACTGTTGCTAGAACTACCGACTCCATGATGTAATAGTCTCTGCCTCTTCCCTATTACCTTTTACTGTATTTAGCTGTTTTTGTTTTCCTGTCAGTGTGTGTTGCTTTCTCTGTGAGTACTAGAGTTTACCTCTCACATTTGTCAATACAGTTTTCTCCAAGTTATTTAGAGAAGTTTGTGGGGAGCGCTTGGGTAATGGTGGCTTCAGTTGTATGTGCAACGCCTGTCCTTATAATTGTTCATTGTTCTTGTATTCTTTGTACACACATTCTTGTGAATACACACTTAATTTAGGTGGTGGTGAAGAGCAGGTGTGTACAGTGGCAAAGGGCTGGAGCGGGTGTGTACAGTACCCCATCAGCGTACTTCACATTCGTAATGTCTACCATGCTTGGCTGTGTTCCACGTTCAGTTCATGCATCCCTGAATTTAGTGCCTTGGGAGGGGGGAGGGGAAGGGATAATTTATCATAGAGAAAATATGGTGTCCCCATTATTGCGGATACTTAGCCTGATAGGTCTACAGAGGTCCCATCTTGGTCAACATTGCCTAGATGTATCCCACAATAGTTACCTAATTCCTAAGTAACTTTTTATTGCTAGGTGATTTGAGGCATCAGGTGAAAGGAAACATGCTCGGACATGTCCTGTAGTAGGCATTGAACCCAAGTTGGGTTGTGACTCAACTGCGCTGACGACCACATACTCTAGTTTTCAGGGAAGAGTAAAGTTGTATGGAAGCATTTACGCAGAGCTTACTTTCTGTTTTTATTTAACAATGTTGTACATCATTAAAAAACTGGAATGGGTTCTGCTAGTTTAGATTAGGCATGGTTAGGTTAGGCAAGGTTAGGTTAGACACAGGTTAGACAGTTAGGTTAGGCAAAGTTAGGCAAGGTTAGATTAGGATGGACAAGGCTAGCTAGTTTTTATAATGACCACAAAGTTAATGGCAAGTTGTGTTACGTACAAAGTTATCCGTGTCTAGCTTTTATAGATTTCAAGATAAGTGTTAACATGAGTCAGAAAGGTTGGGGTGTCGTTGACTTCCATAGTACACAGTACTCAAACCAGCTCCTAGCAGTACCCTTTATTTGGATCGTCACATTCCCCGTCGCTTGCCAGTTGATTTTCCCAGATACAGATCGCTTTGTTAGCCTACGTGGGTATGATTTGACTGTACAGTACTTATGTTGCCTCTTACCAGTTTGGCCTCTACTCCATTATTTGGGAAGTGGGTGGTGTGGCTGGCCATGTAGCCGAATAGGACATTATTTCCAATATTGGTAGAATCTTTGCCGAGTTTACTTTATTATAATTTTCAATTTAATGAGTCTTTGGCACTATTGAACACTAGTTGTCACATAATATATGGATAATACTATGAGAGCTCTGTAATTCAGATTCCTGTAACTCAAATCTTCAAGCAGTCTGGATGAATTTGCATTAGTTTGTGAACTTTTTCTGGGGGAAGCTCCTTCAGCTCCACGTAGCTCTCCAAGCTGATATGTACATCATTAGACTTTGACATCAGTCAGTGTGAATGGAGTTCTAGGCCTAACGGGGACCACGGCCGGAACCTGGCTCCCTCAGAGAGGCACGAAGAGCAATTGCCCAGAGAAATACACATGGGATTTGGAGCATTCTATATCTGCCATCGACCGTGACAGGCACCCAGAAAGGTAAGCACTTCAGAACAAACACCCTATTCTGGTTAAAACGACTAAAAGAGGCAAACTAGTGGACAGAACTCCCCAAATGAAGATGAGCAAATGAGCATGACGTCACGGAGGGAGAAGGGGGGAGCCCCAGACCCCCACGCCAGCAATCCACCCACCAGTTCTTCGGATGACTTGAGTCTATCACCATCTGTATGGTGATCAGGTGGCTTCTTTGATGGTGTCCCACCTGCATGCTTCGTCTTGGCGTATGAAGTTTCCTGGCGGTCCTTTCGTTTCATTCTGTCTCTTCGTCATTGTACTTTTCTTTCTGTTAGCGTTGCTTTGTCCTTTCTCTCGAAGCTGTTTCAGGACCGTCATCTTATGCCGAATACTGTCGCCTCGTATCGTACGGCGTTGGCGGAGACGCGGCAGCTTGCTTTAAGTATTGATGTTGCTTCGGCACCGTTTTGCAAGCTGTCTCCGGCCTGCTCATGGCCGTCCTGGTCTTTGGACAGAGTGCTCTCATGTCTGTCTTCAACTCGGTTTGTTGAGGCCCCTTTGGTTCAGGATTGTTTTTCCAAAGCTCTTTTCTTGTTGGCATTGGCCTCTGGGGGTAGGGCTGGCGAGCGTTATGCTCTCCTCCGGTGCAGGGGTTTCTGCTCTTTTGGTCAAGGTGATAAGTTTGTTAGTTTGCAGCCATCTTCTTTTCTGGCAAAGAATGAGACAGCTGCTTTCCAGAGGGGGTCCTTGGGTTGTTGATGCTTGGTTGGTCAGGCCGGGGGTGCATCATGTGTTGTGTCTGGTTGTGGCTCTCCGCCGTTATTTGCGCGCCACGGCCTCTGTGGCCAAGGACACGCTTTGGGTTGATCCGGTTTCCCTTCTTCCCTGTTCCAAGATTCAGGTCTCTCAGGTCCGCAGGGTTATTCGGTCTAGCCAGCCTGCAGTCTATCCCCGTGCTCAAGACGTTCATAAGTTTTCTGCGCTTGCTGCCATCTTCGGTAATATGTCCTGGGTTGACAATTGGGCACTGGGTTTTTGGCAGTCGAACAGGGTCCTGGCAGCACGCTACTTCGTAAATGTTCCTGGGCCTAGTTGGGCCTGTGTCGCTTTGGGTCGATGGTTGCAGCTTGTTGTCTCAACTTCGAGTCGAGGTGCGAGCACCGACTCCCTCCCGGGTAAGTTCCTCTAGTTTTTGTCTTTGGTGATGTAGTTCCGGGGAACAGAAGGGGTTCTCAGAAAACCAGCATTGAATTTGATGAAATGCCATTTTCCGGGTGACACTCGGAGGCTTTCCAATAATGCCCCCTTCTCCCGGGCTTTTTTTTTTTTTTTTTTGTGTGTGTGTGTGTGTGTGTGTGTGTGTGTGTGTGTGTGTGTGTGTGTGTGTGTTTGACATCCAGCCTTGAACTGGAAGGTGGATCGCCAGCACAGTGGGTCTGGGGCTGCTCCTTTCCCCTCCTGGGGAGGGGGGAGCTGTGCAGACATGTGGCGTGGCTCGTTTCTGTTTGGGGAGTTCTGTCCACTCATTTGTCTATTTTAGTTGTTTTAAACAGAATAGGGGTTTGTTTTGAGGCACTTACCTTTCTGGGTGCCTGTCCCGGTCGATGGCAGACATAGAATGATCCAAATCCCACGTGCATTTCTATAGGCCACTCGTGCCTCTCTGAGGTGGCCAGGTTCTGGCTCGTGGTCCCTGGTAGGCCTAGAACTCCATTCACACTGATGCTAAAGTCTAATGATATACATATCAGCCTGGATAGCTCCAGGGAGCCTCCGAGTCTCACCCAGAAAATGGTGTTTCAGTACATTCAATGCTGTTTTTTTTTTTTTGTGGGTAAGCAAACCACAAAATGGTACAATTATAAGCCTACCTAAAATAATGGTAAAGGAGATTCGTGCAACATCTGGCTGCCTGGCGAATGATGCAACAACTGAACGGAACAAAAGTGGTACATTAATATGTCGTGGAGAAAGATGGCTTGGCAATAGGGTACAGTATTAGTTTCATTTCCACACACATTATGAATTTGTTCATTAGTTTCATTTTCTCATTATTACTAAAACAGTTGTCAATGTTTGTTTCTTGACTGCATTTTTATTTGGTATTAGTCTACTTAATAAAATAGTATTTTATAAGTTAAAATATACCAGTCGGCAAAGAAGTTGAATGTTTATTTATTTCATTATTTTTGAAGGCGAGCCGTGGGTTTCACGTGGCAGAAAAAAGTAGTTTGCGTGGCAAGTTTGGGATGTGTCGGAACCCTTGGTATGCGTGCTAAGTGTTGCCTCACACCATGTTCTGGGGTTAGTGTCCCCTTCAGTCTTGAGGTTATCTTGAGGTTATCTTGAGATGATTTCGGGGCTTTACTGTCCCTGCGGCCCGGTCCTCGACCAGGCCTCCACCCCCAGGAAGCAGCCCGTGACAGCTGACTAACTCCCAGGTACCTATTTACTGCTATTGTAACAGGGGCATTTAGGGTGAAAGAAACTTTGCCCATTTGTTTCTGCCTCGTGCGGGAATCGAACCCGCGCCACAGAATTACGAGTCCTGCTCGCTATCCACCAGGCTACGAGGCCCCTTAAAAATGGCCTATCCTAGTCTAGGATACTTTTTTGATAGCTCTATTTATTTATTATTCCTGGCTTCAGTTGTTGGGTCAGGGAGCTTCATGATATCCTCCAGAGGTGGAGTTTTTGTTCTTTAGCCCTGGTGAGGGTTTTTGTTAATCTGCAGCTGGCTCTTTAGTTTTTGGTGGAGAATGAGTTGGCTGGCATCTAGAAGGGTCCTTTTTTTATATATTATTTTCTACCACAGACGTGGCCACACATTTACAATGCTAATCAGCATACAGTATATACTTATTTTGTCTGTCCTCCATGGACAGGGTTAGAGATCTGTTAAACATATAGTTCAGGGTCCTTTGGTTATCAGTGCTTGGTTGATTAGGCCGCGGGTACATCATGTGCTGTGCCCGGTGCCAGCTATCGGCCTCTATCGGTTCCACTGATTTAGGCTCGGTGGGTTGTGCTTGCTTTGTGGGTTGATCTTGCTTCCTTGGTTCCCTCATCCTTGGTGTGTCCCTGGTTTTTCTTCTCCATGAGTGGTTAGCTTCAGGGAGCTACAAGGGGCTTGCCCCAGAAAATCGGTGTTGAATGTAATAAAAAGCAGTTTCTGGGTTAGTTCCTGTGGTTACCTGATTCACTCCCCCCCCTCCCTTCAAGTTGTTGGTTGGGGGTGTTTTATGTATGCATCTGCTCCAGAACTGACTACTCGAGCCAGGTGGACAGTGTGAGCCCAGCACCCTCTGCCTCCCCAAACAAGTAAGAGGGGTGGGGCAAATAAGCGCAGGCTTCTTTCAAGAGATATGATCCTTTGTTTAAATTGTTGGAGAGTTTATTTGGTGGGATGTGAGGCTACAGTCTCTCTTGAACGCAGCAGTGGTTTGTATTGGTTTGCTGACATTCTGGGTGCCTTCCCTGGTGAGGTGGCGTGTCACCTGCTTCTTGTGCCTCATGTGAGGGAGGGTCCAGGTTCTGGCAGTCCCCAGGTAGGCCGAACTGAACTCCACAGCTTGTACAATCTTGAAGTTTCTGGAGCCATCTCGGCGAGATGGCTTCAAGGAGCCTCAGGGGACTTACCCCAGAAAAGCGTGTTCACTAATTCTTGAAGAACAGCGGCACCCAAATTTACAGACGGTAATGTACAGTACAGTAAAGGCAAAAGTTCTTAAACTCAGGATTTGAGAAACTCTTAAAGGGTTTGAAAATGATACAGTCCAGATTAATTATCGTGCTGTACAGTACAGTTAGTTGCCATGTCTCACCAGCTGGGTAATTCCCAGATTGTCTGTCAAATACTTATTAATCAAGTTCACATTTAAAAATTATAAAGATACATGCATTAGATTTCTTGTAATTTATTACTTTTATGTACTAAATAAGTGTATAATAAATATGTAATAATAAATAAAAATACTGTGCTAATGTCCTAATGTTTTCATGGTTATCTTGAGGTCATCTTGAGATGATTTTGAGGCTTTTTAGTGTCCCCGCGGCCCGGTCCTCGATCAGGCCTCCACCCCCAGGAAGCAGCCCGTGACAGCTAACTAACACCCAGGTACCTATTTTACTGCTAGGTAACAGGGACATAGGGTGAAAGAAACTCTGCCCATTGTTCCTCGCCGCCGCCTGGGATCGAACCCAGGATCACAAATCCAGCGTGCTGTCCGCTCGGCCGACCGGCTCCAGGTCGTACAGGTCTCTAATGGTGTACTACATGGTGTACAGGTCTCTAATGGTGTACTACATGGTGTACAGGTCTCTAATGGTGTACATGGTGTACAGGTCTCTAATGGTGTACATGGTGTACAGGTCTCTAATGGTGTACATGGTGTACAGGTCTCTAATGGTGTACATGGTGTACAGGTCTCTAATGGTGTACATGGTGTACAGGTCTCTAATGGTGTACAGGTCTCTAATGGTGTACATGGTGTACAGGTCTCTAATGGTGTACATGGTGTACAGGTCTCTAATAATAAATTCACTTGGTGTTTCTAAAGCTGTTCATTTTTTGCAGGTTGACGTTTGTGTCTGCTTGAGGAAGGTATAGTGCTAAACCAAAGAAGATGGATTTAAAATCTCTTCTTCAAAGCCATTTAGAGAAACAGGAGAAGCAAAAAGACAGCCAAGGAAACTCCCCGAGATCATCTGACCTCCATGAAGGAATTAGTGCTGAAGAAAGTGCAGATAAGTTATTTGAAAAATACTATTGTGAATGGAAGGGTATAAATAAAGGGTTGGCAGGTGGTAGTGGTGGATCAAGTTTCAGTGTCATTCCAAAATTTTATCACAAACTTCCCCCAGATGACGATCAGTTGCTCCAAAAGTTGCGTGAAGAGTCACGAGCAGTTTTTCTACAGAGAAAAAGTAGGGAGCTGTTAGATAATGATGAACTGAAGAATCTATGGATGCTTCTTGATAAGCACCAGTCTCTTACACAACTTGGAGGTGAAGAGCAAATGATCAATTATGAAGACTTTTTAAAGGTGGCTCAGCAAGCAGGACCAAAATGTAAACAATATTTTCAGCCATCCACTTTCTGCAAATTGCTACAAAATGATCCTCATGGACGAATTTCTATCATGAATTTTTTCAATTACGTTATGCGAAAGGTATGGCTACATCAAACCAGAATTGGACTCTCACTGTATGACGTAACTGGTCAGGGCTATCTCAGGGAGTCAGACCTAGAGAATTATATTCTGGAATTAATTCCAACATTACCCCAGTTAGATGGTCTGGAAAAGTCATTCCATTCTTTCTATGTATGCACTGCAGTAAGAAAATTTTTCTTTTTTCTGGATCCAATGCGCACTGGACAGATAAAGATACAAGACATACTGGCATGCAGCTTCCTTGATGACTTACTGGAGTTACGTGATGAGGAGTTACCTAAGGATCAACAGCAAAACAACTGGTTTTCAGCCCCATCTGCTCTTAGGGTATATGGTGTTTACTTAAACCTTGATAAGGATCACAATGGGATGCTCTCCAAGGAAGAACTGTCCCGCTATGGGATGGGCACGCTAACTCCTGTCTTCATAGACCGTGTTTTCCAAGAATGTTTAACATACGATGGAGAGATGGATTACAAAACGTATCTTGACTTTGTCTTGGCCTTGGAAAATCAAAAAGAACCTCAGGCATTACACTATTTTTTCCGAATCCTTGATATTGATAATCGAGGATACTTAAATGTCTTCACTCTCAACTACTTCTTTCGGTCCATTCAAGAGCAGATGCGTCAACATAATCAAGAACCGGTTAACTTTGAGGATGTGAAGGATGAAATTTATGATATGGTGAAACCAGCTGATCCATGTAAGATTATGCTGCAAGATCTCATTAATTGTGGTCAGGGCGACGTAGTCAGCAGCATCCTTATTGACCTTAATGGATTTTGGACCTACGAGAACCGAGAGGTTCTTGTGGCTGACAGTAATGAAGAGCCGGCACAAGTTTAAATTACCTGTAAGTAAGGTAATACCAACTATATAATTTTTACCATTATTATAACCATTTGAAATTTAAAGACTAGTCATATAGAACATAATAATCGCAAGCTGTTAACAGTTGTCAAGACTGAAAAGTTTGTGATGTCAATTATTTACACACGGTAGATATCCCTAGCAAGGATACCTTATGGTTTGGTATGCTTATATCTATGGTGTACATTCTTCTTCAGACAGGTTTTTGTTCAATATTTCAAGAGTGCCTCATTGTATTGCCTTGAAATGTAATATGTGTTACTTAAGTTTGAGTCAGATTATTAGGCTGCTGTTAATGTAGGTTCTCTTAACTACTGTACAAGTCAGTTATGTTTTGTTGATTTTTTGTTGATGTGGCCTCTCAAAAAGAGCCGCCTCGATTTGACTTGAACTGGTGATGTGACATGTATGAATGGTCATAAAATTTAAGGTGCCTTTAATTTTTGGGAATTGTATTCCCCCAAAAATACAAGAACCCCTCTGGGCTTCTGGAGGTGTCCTTGGGTTATTGATGCTTGGTTGGTCAGGCCAGTGGTACATCACGTGTTGTCAGGTTGCTGCTCTGTGCCGTTACCTGTGCGCTTTGGCCTCTGTGGCCGTGGCTGCACTTTGGGTTGATCCGATTTCTGTTTTCCTGTTCCAAGGCTCGGATCTCTCAGGTCATCCGCAGGATTATTAAGTCTACCCAGTCTACGGTCTACCCTTGTGCCCATGACGTTCGTAATTATGCTGCTTGACTGCCATCTTTGGCAACATGTTTTAGGCTGACATTCGGGTGCAGGGGTTTTAAAGGTCAAACAGGGTTCTGGCCGCCTGTTAATTGGTAAATGTTCCTGGGCCCAGTCATTTGTGTGTGGCTTTAGGTTACAGTTTGCAGCCAGTTGTCTTGTCTTCGAATTGATCCACACGGTACGGCTGCTTCCCGAGTAGTCCCTCTTTTACCTACCTTTGGTAATGTAGCTCCGGGGAGCTGAAGGAGCTCCCCACAGAAAACCAGCGTTGAATGTAATGAAATGCCATTATCTGGGTGAGCCCCGGAGGCTCCCTGGCGCCCTCCCTCTCTCTGGTCGGCTGTTTCGTTTTTGATAGTCAATCTCTGAACGGGGGTGTGAGTAGCCGGCACGTAGGTCCAGGGCTCCCCCCTCCCCCTCCCTGGGAGAAAAGGGCTGGGCAGACAAGTGGCACGATGGCAGTGAGTGATGATTGCTTGTTTGCTTGTTTCCTTAGTTTTCCTTAGGGGAGTTCTGCTTCTCTGTTTGGTCTTGGGTTTTTTGCAATTTCCTATCATGTGGGGTTTGTTTTGAAATGCCTACCTTTCTGGGTGCCTAACCCCAGTTGATGGCAGACAATTAATACCCCCAAATACAAGGAGGTCTCTTAACCACCGTGCTGTGCCGAGTTTATTGTGAAATTCCCCCCGTGCGCATGAAATAGTGTTCCCCCCAAAATTCTTTTTTCTTCATAAAATGATAAATTCCCTTCCCTTAACATGTCTATGTAAAAATAAATACCAAATTCCACTTACTTTGGTTGTGGGGACGTGGACAAGGTGCGCTGTGACGTCCTCGGGCTGGTCGCCCGTGTGTGACACGCCCGGATACGGTCGCGCGGGCCATTCAAGCTCCGGGTGTTGCCACAAATATATTTTCAATTATTTGTTCTATGTATTTCTAATGCGGTTTTAATTGTTTTTTATCCTATATGATGCATATTTGTGTCCTTTACAATATGTATACAGTATAACGTTCCTAATGTTCCTTGGAACTGTGATAGATGTGTCAGTAATGTGTCCACAATAAATGTTTATTGTCGCAATATTACTTGTTAAAAATTCACTAAAATTACAATATGTACAGTTTCACACACTATTTACACAGTAACTCACTGTACAGTACTGTATTATACACTCAGTACTTCGGAAGTGAGTAGTAATCAACGAAGTAGTCCATGGTACACAGCACGACTACGCTCTCAGTGCACCAGGTACAGATAGATTTTCGCTTCCTGTTTCTTCGTTCTGTGTGCTTGCTAATAATGCACTCATGTACACCCTTGGCTTTAGTACTTGTAGGTTGTATGTAGCCAAGCTTGTAAAGCATAAGGTAGTATTGAAAAGATTATAGGAAAAGATCAATTTGTAAGGTAGTCTTGAAAAGATGGCTTTGTAGGGTCCCTGACAGGAAGAGATTCAGCTAGCCTCAGAGAGTGTCCGTCAGTCTGGAAGAGATTCAGCTATTCTTGAAAATATCTATGGAAAACACCACCATGGTAGCCGCTAACACTGTTCATCTATGCTACTTGTTGGCGTATGGAAGATGGTGAGGAGGAGGAGGAGGGGGGAGGAGGAGAGGTGTTATTGTTTGGAAGGGGAGTCCCCTTACATTATAACGTCAGGTAGTGAGGACTTCCCTGGTGTGCACTCTGGCACGTTTTGCCTACATACCACTAGGACTGGCTTGGGGCTCACTGCTTGCTTGTCTTACTAAGAATCTTAAGACACTTGTTTTTCCCTACATTTTAACACTTGTCTGTAGTAAGACATAACATTGTCATTTAAAAGGTCAATGCAACGGCCTGCTACAGCTTTATCTGGGTTAGTTTTTTCAACAGAACTTTGCAGTTCTTCCCATACTTTACACATTTTCTTAATGAAGAAGGGACATCCTCTACTGCTTCTACTCACAGCTATTTTCTTAGGTTGAACCTTACCAATGGCTTTCTTGGGACCCATGAGATATATAATAACAACCTTTATTTTCAAATAGCCAAAAATCCAACAAAAAACTGTAAATTCTTGTGAAAAAACAGGCGGAATAGTCACTAGGCGCAAGGCACTGGTAAACTGAGGCGCGATCGCCATGCCACCATGCGCTAGTCGGCCTGTACGCGTATCAACATCCTCATCTTCCGAGGCAACACTCGTATTCCGATGTAACTTTCTGAGCAAATCCTGCTTGTATTCCGAAAAATGCGTACAGTATACAGGGACACTCATATTCCGAGGTACCACTGTATTAAGAATTAATTTTTTTTTTTTTTTTTTTTTGCTTCCTTTTGACCCTCTGTGGGAATTGGGCTGAAAATTGGTGTTGCAGCCAAAGGGTTAAATACTGCTTTATTTACATCAGAATTCAATCTAAAAATATTATTTGAGTGCAGTAAAGGTAACTTAAATTATGGCTTTCCACCTTTTTCTCTCTTGCTGTAGTGTCAGCGTTTTATATTTTTTTTTTATTTATATATATGTCGTACCTAGTAGCCAGAACTCACTTTTCAGCCTACAATGCAAGGCCCGATTTGCCTAATAAGCCAAGTTTTCTTGAATTAATATATTTTCTCTAATATTTTTCTTATGAAATGATAAAGCAACCCATTTCATTATGTAAGAGGTCAATTTTTTTTTATTGGAGTTAAAATTAACGTAGATATATGACCGAACCTAACCAACCCTACCTAACCTAACCTAACCTATCTTTATAGGTTAGGTTAGGTTAGGTAGCCGAAAAAGTTAGGTTAGGTAGGTTAGGTAGTCGAAAAGCAATTAATTCATGAAAACTTGGCTTATTAGGCAAAATGGGCCTTGCATAGTAGGCTCAGAAGTGAGTTCTGGCTACTAGGTACGACATATATATATACACAAGAGTTCTTGCATTCCTATACAGCCACTAGCACACACAGCATTTTGGGCAAGTCCTTAATCCAAATTTTTTTCCGGAATACGACCCACCAAATTATTTAACCATTAAGCTGTGCAAAACGTCATATGAAGTCTGACATGGAGCTCAGTTTTTAAATTTGCTGAAATGCTTTCAAATGTTTTGTACATAATCTACTAGGCAAATGCTCCAACTTTGTCTAAATGATACCAACGTAACTTGAAAAACAAGAAAATAAAAAATAATTATAAAATTCAATATTGAAAACTTCAGGTTTTGAAATTAGTTGCAAAAATATAAAATATCACCAATTGTTTATTTGATGTTATTATGCTCTCAGAATAGCATATGATCTTCATTTTCATAGATTTAGAATATAGGTTTTTCAGTATAGTTTACTGTAAAAAAAAAAAATTGTCAATATGGCATTTGAAACACTGTATGCGCAAATTTAGACAACAAAAATTTATAACTCTAGATGTTTAGGGTTAATGAAAAATCCATTCTATAGGGATTTTAAAACAGACAGCTGTGCACACTATGTGAAAATGGTGAGAATTGGTCACAAACTAGATTTTTGGATACTGAAGTACGTAAGTTGAAATTCTAGTTATACAGGTAGATATAATGGAAGTTGAAGTAATCGACAATGAATAAGGCAGTTCTAATTCATGAATTTACTTGTATGTTTTAATAAACTTTGTTTGGCATCCGTATTTGAATATATGAAAGTTGTAGGTCAATACAGTATAGGTCAACAGTCCCCGTGGTGTAGTGGTAAGACACTCGCCTGGCATTCCGCGAGCGCTTTGTCATGGGTTCGTATCCTGGCCGGGGAGGATTTACTGGGCGCAAATCCTTAACTGTAGCCTCTGTTTAACGCAACAGTAAAATGGATACGTGGTTGTTAAACGATTCTTTGTGGGGATCGTATTCCAGAGAACATAGGATTAAGGACTTGCCCGAAACGCTACGCGTACTAGTGACTGTACAAGAATGTAAGAACTCTTGTATACATAAAAAAAAGTGTTGAAATGAAGTCAAGAAAAAATAACCCCCAAAAAACTAAAAATAGGGGTAATTATAATTAATATAATGAGTTTGGGGATACATTTAGGGTATAATTTGTATATGTAAAAAATCATAAACTGGTCCCTAATCATCAAAACAACCTAAAGAGAGAAAGAAAATAGAGTTTGAAATCGGTGAAAAAATAAGCAAAAAAAAAATTATAATAATAATAATAATAATCTTTATTTAGGTAAGGTACATACATAAAGAGATTTTACAAAGTTTGTTGGCTTTATAGATAGAGCTAGTACATACAATGCCTAAAGCCACTATTACGCAAAGCGTTTCGGGCAGAAATTCATAGTCATAGGTTCATAGTCATAATTCATAGAATTCATAGTCCCAAGTTCAGGAGTGTGACTGATTTATTTGTTGACCAATTTCATTCTATCTTCACATAGTTAGGGACGAGTATGCACTTTCCAGGATGTAAAGGTTACAACAAAAACTTCACATAGTTAGGGACGAGTATGCACTTTCCAGGATTTAAAGGTTACAACAAAAACTTCACATAGTTAGGGACGAGTATGCACTTTCCAGGATGTAAAGGTTACAACAAAAACTTCACATAGTTAGGGACGGGTATGCACTCTCCACGATGTAAAGGTTACAACAAAAACTTCACATAGTTAGGGACGGGTATGCACTCTCCACGATGTAAAGGTTACAACAAAAACTTCACATAGTTAGGGACGAGTATGCACTTTCCAGGATGTAAAGGTTACAACAAAAACTTCACATAGTTAGGGACGGGTATGCACTCTCCACGATGTAAAGGTTACAACAAAAACTTCACATAGTTAGGGACGGGTATGCACTCTCCACGATGTAAAGGTTACAACAAAAACTTCACATAGTTAGGGACGAGTATGCACTTTCCAGGATGTAAAGGTTACAACAAAAACTTCACATAGTTAGGGACGGGTATGCACTCTCCACGATGTAAAGGTTACAACAAAACTTCACATAGTTAGGGACGGGTATGCACTCTCCACGATGTAAAGGTTACAACAAAAACTTCACATAGTTAGGGACGGGTATGCACTCTCCACGATGTAAAGGTTACAACAAAAACTTCACATAGTTAGGGACGGGTATGCACTCTCCACGATGTAAAGGTTACAACAAAAACTTCACATAGTTAGGGACGGGTATGCACTCTCCACGATGTAAAGGTTACAACAAAAACTTCACATAGTTAGGGACGAGTATGCACTTTCCAGGATGTAAAGGTTACAACAAAAACTTCACATAGTTAGGGACGAGTATGCACTTTCCAGGATGTAAAGGTTACAACAAAAACTTCACATAGTTAGGGACGGGTATGCACTCTCCACGATGTAAAGGTTACAACAAAAACTTCACATAGTTAGGGACGGGTATGCACTCTCCACGATGTAAAGGTTACAACAAAAACTTCACATAGTTAGGGACGAGTATGCACTTTCCAGGATGTAAAGGTTACAACAAAAACTTCACATAGTTAGGGACGAGTATGCACTTTCCAGGATGTAAAGGTTACAACAAAAACTTCACATAGTTAGGGACGAGTATGCACTTTCCAGGATGTAAAGGTTACAACAAAAACTTCACATAGTTAGGGACGGGTATGCACTCTCCACGATGTAAAGGTTACAACAAAAATAAGATAAACAAAGAAGAAAAAACTAAAAACTTAAAAAAAAAAAAAAATGGATATTGATGAAAGTAACAGATATTAATATTGGACAATGTATTTATATGGTATATAACAAAATAGATCATAATAACATTTATTCATTATTATTTGTGTTATGTATTGCTCAGCAATGCTATAATGGCACCAGCTGTATATCCACTTTGTGGACACTTCTTACTACTACTGTTCTTCTTTGAGCGTCGGACAGGTGCTTGTATCTCTTTATTACTGCATTATCCCTCAGTTCTTGTTAATAGGAGCTGTTCTCTTTATCAACAAAACGTTCTTTGTAAAAAAAAAAATTGTCTAAAATCAATTTCTGAAAATATTTTGATGAAAGTTTCACGACGCAATAAGTTCACGACGACAATAAATAAATAAATACAATAAAATTCACGACGACAATAAATAAATAAATACAATAAAATTCACGACGACAATAAATTCACGACGTCAATAAGTTGGAGATTTGTTTAACATTTTTAAGTAATTTTTACATAATTCAAATATTTTTCATTTCCCTGCCCCTTTTGCTGAGCAGTTTAAGGGTTAACACCCAGGTACCCATTCACTGCTGGGTGAACAGAGGCTACAGTTAAGGATTGGCGCCCAGTCAATCCTCTCGGGGCCAGGATATGTATTGCCAGCATTGACAGTATTTTACTTCAGTATTTGTGAACTTTATGCTTCTCAATTTTGTTTTTGTTTTTTATCTCTTCATATACAGCACTGTATACAGAATAATTTAATTTTCCTGCAGAAGTATGAGTAACTTGGCCCCGGATCCTGTGTTTGTCTTGCGAGGTGCCAAATCTCCGGTGACATCACTTGCCTTCCTGCATGCCAGCGAGGCAGGAAAGTTGCGGAAAATTGCTGCTGGGACTCAAGACGGTCACATTATGATCTGGGATCTCAAGGTAGCAACAAAAACACAATGCAAAAGAGAGTGGTATTTTGTTATACATACTCATTTTCATACATCTTTATAATAAAGGTTTAATTAAAGTGATGGCTTTGTTTGGTAAATGTGTTGATTTGTCAAAATGCAACTTGCATAACCTTGACATTACTGAGCTGGAGCTGTGTGTCCACTCTCTGCTTTTTGATGTGATAGCACAGTAATTGTTGTACAGGATTGTAGACCATGAAATTCTGAACAAAAAACCAAAGAAATTTATAGTTAAAATGACAGTTTTCATAAAGGCCCATTTATTGGGTATTGTTTGTATACATAGCATGAACATAGATAAATTGTATGGCAGCCCTCAACACCTAGTTCAACCTTGACAACGGGTGGACGTCTGGACACCTCTTCCGCCCGGGAGCCGCTGGATTACGTTCTGTTTCGGAATTTTGGATTTAATACTGCCGTTTGGCATTCCTATCCAACAGTTCTTATCTAACGGATTGTTGCGATGCTTGGCGCATATATCGCCTTGGGTCACAGGGTTGTTGATAGATTTTAAGTGTCGGCAGTGTGGGTGTCGCTTCGGAGGAGTTGGGTCGCTCATGGATCGACCATTCGGCTCCATTTGGACTGCTCCCCGGTGGTTCATTGCCTGAATCACGGGGGCTCCATGCGGTCCTTGGCTCTTTGGGGCTGTTTGCTTCGGGGGACTTGTCTGCATCAATCCCGATTGCAAGGCCGACGGGATTGATGCCTTCAGGTAGGGTTAGTCGATGTGGGGTTACCTGTACCTCTTTTCCCCGTTTCCACTGTTGCTCAAAGTCCTGACACGCTTGGAGACTTGCCAAGGAAGAGTAGTCCTCTTGGCCCCTTTGTGGCCGGCCCAGCCTTGGTTTCAGGTACTGCTTGCTCGGTATCCGAACCCGGGGTGTCTTCCTGCAGCTCGGCCTCTTTCAGCAGATCAGGCCAGTCCGTTACGTAGCTGGTTTGATCTTCTCCACAAGTCTTCGCATCTGGTGTTTCTGATGCAGGTCTATCACCACTTGTATAGTGAGCGGGTGGCTTCGTTGATGGTGTCCCAGCTGCGTGCTTTGTCTCGGCGCAATATGAAGTTTCCTGGTGATCCTTTCGTTATTTCTTGTCCCTCTGTGGATTTTCTTCTGTTTTGGATAGGGTTGTCTTGTTCTTACTTGGTTGTTTCAGGATCGTCATCTTATGGCGGATCCTGTCGCCTTGTATCGTGCGGTGCTGGCGGAGCTGCTTCAGCTTGAGTTCGGGGTGGATGTTACTTCTCTGTTCCACAAGCTGTCTCGTGTGTTGTTTCATCTCCGGCCTGCTCATGCGTCGCCTGAGCCGTCCTGGTTGTTGTGTGTTCTTTTCTTTCATCTTGGGTTGTGGTGGCCCCTTCGGTTCAAGATTGTTTTGCGAAGGCTCTTTTCCTGTTGGCATTGGTCTCTAGAGGTCGGGTCGGGGACTGTCATGCTCTCCTCTGGCGCAGTGGTTTCTGCTCTTTTGGTCCTGGTGGTAGGTTTGTTCGTTTGCAGCCGTCTCCTTCTTTTCTGCTGAAGAATGAGACTGCTGCTTTCCGGAGGGGGTCCTTGGGTTGTTGATGCTTGGTTGGTTCGGCCGTGGGTGCATCGTGTGTTGTCGGGTTGCGGCTATTCGCCGTTACCTGTGCGCCACAGCCTCGGTGGCCGGGGACGCGTTTTGGGTTGACCCGGTTTCCCTTCTTCCCTGTTCCAGGGTTTGGGTCTCCCAGGTCGTCCGCAGAGTTATTTCGGTCTAGCCAGCCTGCGGTCTGTCCTCGTGCCCCATGACATTCATAAGTTTGCTACATTAGCTGCCGTCTTTCGTAACATGTCTTGGGCTGACATTTGGGCACAGGGTTTCTTGAGGTCGGACAGGGTCCTGGCTGCTTGCTACCTTGTCAAGGTTCCTGGGCCTAGTCGGGCGTGTGTCGCATTGGGTCGGCGGTTGCAGCCATTTGTCTCGACTTCCTTATTGAGGAGCAAGTGGCGACTGCCTCCCGGGTAAGTCCCTCTTGATTCTATCTTTGGTTAAATAGCCCCGGGGAGCTGAAGTGGATCCCCCCAGAAAATCGGCATTGAATGTAATGAAATGCAATTTTTCTGGGCGAGACCCGGAGGCTCCCCCGGCAACCCCCTCTTCCCCGTCAGCGGTTTTTGTAGGTTTTTGGACATCCAGCCTCAGAACTGAGTGTGTGGATAGTCAGCACCTGGGTCTGGGGCTCCCCCTTTCCCCTCCTAAGGAGGGGGGAGATGCGCAGACAGCAGGGTGGTGACGGTTGTGATGTCACGATCGTTTTTAGTGTGGGGAGTTCTGTCCAACAGTTCGGCTTTCAATAGCAATATTTTAATCAGATAAGAGTTTATTTTGGGGGCATACCTTTCTGGGTGCCTGACCCGGTCGATGGCAGACATAGAATACTTCCATTGCTCCTCGTGCCTCTCTGAGAGGGCCAGGTTCTGGCTTGTGGTCCCCGGTAGGTCTAACCCTTAAACTGCGCATGGTGTAAATATATGACCGGACCTGATGGTACCATGAGTTAAATTTCTCAAACTTGCTCAAATGCATTTCAATTTCTTGTGCATAATCTACTGGCAAATCCTGCAACTTTGTCTAAATGATCACAAACATAACTTGAAAAATAAGAAAAAAAAAATAATTATAAAATTTAATATTGAAAACTTCAGATTTTCAAATCGGCTGCAAAAATATAAAATATCACCAATTGTTCATTTGATGTTTATTATGCCCTCAGAATAGCATATGATCTTCATTTTCATAGATTTAGAATATAGGTTTTCAGTTGAGTTTACTGTAAAAAAAAAAATCGTCAATGTGGAATTTGAAATATGCGCCAAATTTAGACTTGAGGTTATCTTGAGGTTATCCTGAGATGATTTCGGGGCTTTTTAGTGTCCCTGTGGCCTGATCCTCGACCAGGCCTCCACCCCCAGGAAGCAGCCCGTGACAGCTGACTAACACCCAGGTACCTATTTTACTGCTAGGTAACAGAGGCATAGGGTGAAAGAAACTCTGCCCATTGTTTCTTGCCAGCGCCTGGGATCGAACCCAGGACCGCAGGATCACAAGTCCAGCGTGCTGTCCGCTCGGCCGACCGGCTCCCTAAACAACAAAATTTATAACTCCAAATGCTTAGGATTTATGAAAAATTAATTCTAATAGGGTTGTAGAACAGACAACTGTGCACACTATATGTAAAAATGGTGAGAATCGGTTAGAAGCTGGATTTTTTAAACTGACTCAAAGTTGAAACTCTAGTTTTAGAGATAATTGACATTATTGACAATGAAGAAGGTAGTTCTAATTCATTAATTTACTTGTATGTTTTAATAAACATCGTTTGGCATTCGTACTCATATATGTGAAATTTGTAGGCCAATATGTGTTGGAATGAAGTCAAGAAAAAAATAACCCCAAAAAACTACATATAGGGATAATTAAAATGAATTGGGGGGATAAAGATGTATACTTTATATAAGTGATAAAGCCCTAATCTGGTCCCTAATCATCAAAACAGCCTAAAGAGACAAAGAAAATAGTTTGAAATCTGTGAAAAAATTGGCCCCCAAAAAACAGTCCCAGGTTCTGTGAGTTGTGACTGATTTATTTGTTGACCAATTTCATTTTATCTTCACATAGTTAGGGACGCGTATGCACTTTCCACGATGTAGAGGTTACAACAAAATAAGATAAACAAAGAAGAAAAAAATCCCCCCCCCCCCTTCCGCTACACATAAGGGGCATAACTGGCCGACCCCTCACAGTGTTCAAGAGAGAACTGGATAAGCACCTCCAAAGGATACCTGATCAACCAGGCTGTGACTCATAAGTCAGGCTGCGAGCAGCCGCGTCTAACAGCCTGGTTGATCAGTCCAGCAACCAGGAGGCCTGGTCGACGACCGGGCCGCGGGGACGCTAAGCCCCGGAAGCACCTCAAGGTAACCTCAAGGTAAACCCCCCCCCCCAAAAAAAAAAAATATATATATATATATCTTTTGGACATTGGTGAAAGTAACAGATATTAACATTGGACAATGTATTTTTATGATATATAACAAAATAGAGCATAATGTCATACTCTTTATTATTTGTGTTATGTATTACTCAGCAATGCTATAATGGCACCAGCTGTATATCCACTTTGTGGACACGTCTTACTGCTACTGTTCTTCTTTGTGCGTCGGACAGGTGCTTGTATCTCTTTATTACTGCATAATCCTTCAGTTCCAGTTATTAGGAGCTGTTCTCTTTATCAACAAAACGTTCTTCTTAAAAATAAAATATCTAAAATCCATTTCTGAAAATATTAGGTTGAAACTTTCACGTTGCTGAAGCCAATAAGTTTGAGATCTGTTTAACATTTAATATTAATTTTCACATAATTCAAATATTTTCTCGCAAAATATCGTCCCCAGCTGTCAGGCGCCTGACAGCTGAGTGGACAGTGCTTCGGATTCGTAGTCCTGAGGTTCCGGGTTCGTTCCCCAGTGGAGGCGGAGACAAATGGGCAGAATGTTTCTTTCACCCTGATGCCCTTGTTCACCTAGCAGTAAATATGTACCTGGGAGTTAGACAGCTGCTACGGGCTGCTTCCTGGGGGGTGTGACAAAAACGAGGCCTGGTCGAGGACCGGGCCGCAGGGACGCTAAGGCCTGAAATCAAATCAAATCGTCTCAAGATACATGCCCAGAGTAACTGGCCGGCTTTGAGGCCGGTGGTGCTCACTTCTGTATAAGCCAAATGAAATCTATTCTTACTTGTGTAACATTCAATTCCCGTTGTCTTTGTCTTCAAGGTTTTTGTTGCAAGTGACTGCAGATTAGTTTGCTTACTGTTATTTTTCCTTGTTTGCTGTTGTTTATCTGTGATTGGAATGGGGTTATCTCACAGTTGCCAATGTTCTATATGTTGCATGATTGTCAAGCTCTTGTACTTACCTAATC